TATCATAGTGATGTACATGTTTAAACATAGTATGTAAAATGTTTGGTTATCTGTATTTTTAGACATTGTCTCGAACTTTTGGAACAGATAAATGTCGGACCATTGTGTTGCCTTCATTAACATTATATATTTAATAAAGTAAAACTGTCTGGTCCATGAGAGCATCTAACATTTGATTTATTATCATAGCAATTTTTCCCATGATAATAATGCCCTTCCATCATCAGGATTACTCATTATTGAGAGTCACGCCATTGGCTGATAATGTCTGTACAAACATAAAACAATTGCTGAGGTGTGAATCAACAGATTATAATGATCAAAGTCCTGATCGTAGCCGATTGCAAACAATTAATACCCCCTTGTATCTGGTAGCTTAATAACCAGTAGCTGTGTACAAATGTGAAAATTGTCCAAAACCCTTTCTTTGATACAAATATATCTTCTCTGTCTATTAAACAGGAGTAGAGGTTTATCTCTAGTTTCTTGTTTAAGATTGAATTTCTGGTTCCTTCTCAAGTCTTCTCATACTTTTTCACTCCCAGTCATCACTTGCATCTTAGTAGCATTATTGCCTTGCTCAGGATGAAATGATTATATATATAATTTTAAGGTATGTTATATTCATGGGTAAAAGTGCTCAATATCATGGATAGAGCATATGTAAATATAAAAGTGGATACTTCAGGCCTGAAGATTGTGTTCAAGCATGAAACAGACTGTTGACCTCAGTGTTTACTTCATTATATATATATATGTATATATATATATATATATATATATATATATATATAAGAATATAAAAGAGACAACATTGGCCAAACTGGGGTCAGACCAGATAATGGTTATTTTAAGAAAGTGCTCAATACACAACTCTAAAAATTAAATGTGTGGAGCAGCTAATAATATTGTTAAAAGATTGAAAAATTCAAGGGTAAAATATAAGTCATGGTCCAAATGAAGAATAAATAAGACAACTGTCCAATGGACAGAATTAATAATATTTGCAATAGAAAGAAAGAGGGGCAAAAATTAAATGGTATCAAGCAAGCAAATAATATAAATAAAACAAATCCATAAGTAAAAAAAGCAAAAAGGTTTATGAACCACGGCTTAGCATCTATGCAGAAAAGCTAGGTCAGACAAGTGAATCCAATAATCTTCCATATAGACAAGCTAGATATGGACTGAGTCAAGTTAAATTGTAAACCAATCTATTTTACTGACTAAGAAAAGTATCCCATCATGCATTTTGTGGATTTTTGCCTATAAAAGGGAAAGGCTGAAAACATTTTGTTGTAACTGACTTATCAAAAAACAACAGGAGAAAACCGGAATTGGTTTAACAACAAGTTTATTACTTTTTGCTACAGGGAAACATAATGTAGAATAGAAACTAGGGAAGAGAATATTTTGCCATGAATGAATAACTGTTTTCAGCAAAAGCTACTGCTCCTGCTGCTACTCCTCTTGATTTAGGGGCATTTTTATGTCTTTTGTCCAAAGGCTGAATCCAAACTTGTAGGGAAATATTCTCTCTCACAGCACTTTTGCAGGCATTCCCAGCCAGATAAAAAATAAACAGATTTCACCCTTACGATCACATCAGGTGGTTTTCAGTAAATAATTATGTATATATGTATGTATGTATATAACTATTTTGTTGGTTTTGAGAAGACTTTATGTACTGTCACTGACCAAAAAGATTGAATGAACAGGTAAGGTATTTTTCCTATATTTTAAAATATTTATTGTATATGTTATTGTATATTCTGTCTATTTAGGCAGCAAATGTTCCTTAAGGTAAATACTATTAAAACGACAGACATTTTGTATCAATTAATTTCAGGTGATACTCATACAACAAAAACAACCATGAATAAATAAAAACAATTAAAACCTAAAAGTCCGCATCCTTAAATGTATGTATATATATATATAAAACACATGTCATACCTCACTTAGAAGAAATAGATTAATGCCATTATCAAGATTATTCATGCAAAAGTGGAACACCAACAAACTAGATGGAGATCTGTACCAAATAACAGAAGCCACATCACTTGAGGAAATTCATCAGCAGCAACAACAACATAAGTGAATGTAATGGATTTGACTGAAATTCAAACTTGGCTCTCTGATTCTGCTATGGAGAGATTTTCACAGGGGAGGCTTGTATTTGTACTAAGTTGGTCCTAAAATAGGTTCAACGTACAAAACGTTAGGAACTTGATATAATAGGTATAACGCAGAGTAATCTAGTTGTGGTTGCTGATAGTTTAGTATTCGACTAACTGTCGTCCGACATTGATGGACTGACCGTCTCACTGAGCGACTGCTCGTTACTCTTACTACTACTTATTATAGGTGGGAGAGTCTATTAACTATAGAATAGGTGTGTTCTACTATAACAGATTTCTCAATCAGTTATGTGCCATGTGTAATACATGCTTAGGCAATCATGTATCTTTTGATACATGACTGACGAGGCAAATTTTTTCCCACAATAGGTTGCCATTTCTTTCTGCAGTAGACCAGTTGTCATCCAAAGCTACAGAACCTGGTCTTCCCTGCTATTTACCCATAGCTGGGAGTGAGAAGAGGAGGATTCATACCTTTCCCAAGGGTATTAGAATGTAAGTGAATGTAATGGATTTTTAACTTGGCTCTCCTATTCTTCAATTTGAGCCGCCATTGTCATATTTGGGCAGGAGATACCCAGACCACACTTTCTGGCCTCGATAGAGTCCAAAAGCCTCATGTAGCTGAAGAATTATTTTCAACCCTCCAATGTCTATCTCACAGATTGGATGTGGCTGGTCTATTGCTACTTCCACAGAAAATGCTTGGAAGAACAACATTCCCTGGTCCCACCAATTCAGACCCTCATGGCAATGACTCGCCATGCCGTTAACATAGTTGAAAACCATCCATATTCCCTCCATGTTCCCCTCAAACAACTTCTTCCCATGAACTACTGCTCCAAACTGTTTGTTAATGCTAAAATCTCGACCTTGAGCAGAGAGGAACCCGGATGCAGCTTTGCCAAAAGGCAAAGTTTTGTCTGGGGAGGTAGACAGGCCTGGACCCATTTATGCGGTTCTACTGGAATATTTTTGGTTGAACCTACAGCTCGGAGAATCCACGGTAAACTCGGCCTTGTGCCACATACATCCCTTGTGGGGTAGGGGACTGTTAAATATTAACTACTGCTCTGTAGAACAGACTCCTAACAGGATGCTTCTCCTGATCTCTACAATCTTAACCTGTTCAAAGCTAGGGTTAACTGTCATCTTCCTTTATGCCCAAATGGCTTCCTAATGTAACCCTCTATCTATCTTTTGTATCATACACCCTTTTTCATTTTTGTAAATAAACGAAGAAATTAAAATATTAGTTTTAAAAATGAATAACTACAAAAAGAAATAAGTTTAAATTTATTGTAATTTTTACAAAAATCACTTTATTATTGTTATGGTCCGGTTTCCTTGTACCACGGTGATAGTCCCAGGTAGAAGCAATAAAGAAGAACTCAAACATAGGTATGGAATAACAAAGATATATTACAAACAGGAATATATACAGAGAAGTAGAAGTGTTAGTATGAAGAATCAGGTTTAGTGGAGAGAACAATGTAGTCTCGACCAGTATCACTATTCCAATATCTTGCAGTAATTGTCTGAACGCGACTCTGTTTCGGACTGCCTCTGACTCAACTCTTGACTCGACTTGAACTACTGACTCCTTGCCTACTCCTGAGGTGCAGTATTTATTAAGTATGGAATAGTCCTTTATTATTATTATGGGTAAGATCCCATAACAATTATTATTTAAACACTTCAGTTAATTCACCTTGAATAATTTTTACACAGACATATTCTTAAATTTCATAATCACAGTAACTTTTATCATAATTTACAAAGTAATATCTTCATATTTGGGCAGAAGCTGCCCAAACCTCACTCCCCAGCCTTGTGGGTGACAAATATTCTCCACCCTTCAACCCCTCTCCCACAAGTGATATGTATCAAGCCTTTTGCTGCTTTATCACTACTTCCAAGGAAAGTGCTTGAACTACAATCCCTATTCCTGACAAGCCAAACATTCATGGCAAAAACACGCCATGACAATTACATAGTAGCAAACCACCCACATCCCCTCCATATTCCATCGATGAGAAGTAAGTTTCACTCATGCAGCTTCTTCCTGCAAACTACTGCCCTGTGGAATTGACTCCCAACAGGATGTTTTCCCCTGATCATTACAATCTTAACCTGTTCAAGGCTAGGGTTAATTGTTATGTTCCTTTATGTAAAAATGGCTTCCTAATGTAACCTTCTATTTCGAGTGGTGCCCAGGTTTTGTAAAGGGTGAACCTAACCTTATTGTAAAAAAAAGAAAAAAAAAAGATAATTTATTATTACTAATTTATTTAATTGGTATTTATTAATTAAAATAGTTATGATAATACCACTAAACATTATTAAATTAAAAGACCGCTCTACACATTCATGAAATATTATTACAGAGTTATTTTCATACTGATAATTTCGAAGGCACAATAACTAAAGTGTTGTCAATATAATAATTAATTGTTGTTGGTAGCGTTTATGTAAATATATTCAGATAAATATTTTCTTTATTGTTTTTTACTGAAATTACTTGACAATTTAAGCAGCATTATAGTTGTCATTCAAAATGTGACATGAAAGTCAAGGATGATTTGGATTGAGTGTTTTTAAATGTGTCGATGCATTAATATGTTTGAATCTACTTGAATCCAGTAATCTTATTAAAAAAGAATCTATCTATCTATATATTTTACTATCTATCAATCAATCCATCAGAGTTTGTTCATTATCTATCACAATCTATTTACATCTATTTGTCTATCTCACTTTATTCATATATGCCTATTCATTATCTATCTATATTCATACCTCTTTATCTTTTTATATCTATCTGTTTGTTTTTCATCTACCTATCTCTGTCCATTATCTATGTTTATCCACATCTATATCTCTCTATCTATGTATCTATCTATATCTCTCTATGTATCTATCTATATCTCTCTATGTATCTATCTATATCTCTCTATGTATCTATCTATATCTCTCTATCTATGTATCTATCTATATCTCTCTATGTATCTATCTATATCTCTCTATGTATCTATCTATATCTCTCTATCTATGTATCTATCTATATCTCTCTATCTATGTATCTATCTATATCTCTCTATGTATCTATCTATATCACTCTATGTATATATCTATATCACTCTATGTACATGTATCTATTTGTGTATCTCTATGTGTCTATCTCTATCACTATCTATGTGTCTATCTCTATCACTATCTATGTGTCTATCTCTATCACTATCTATGTGTCTATCTCTATCACTATCTATGAGTCTATCTCTATCACTATCTATGAGTCTATCTCTATCACTCTATGAGTCTATCTCTATCACTCTATCTATGTGTCTATCTCTATCTCTCTATGTGTCTATCTCTATCTCTCTATGTGCCTATCTATTTGTGTATCTGTGTCTATCTATATCACTCTCTCTGTGTCTCTATCTATATCACTCTCTCTGTGTCTCTATCTATATCACTCTCTCTGTGTCTCTATCTATATCACTCTCTCTGTGTCTCTATCTATATCACTCTCTCTGTGTCTCTATCTATATCACTCTCTCTGTGTCTCTATCTATATCACTCTCTCTGTGTCTCTATCTATATCACTCTCTATGTGTCTCTATCTATATCACTCTCTATGTGTCTATCGCTATCACTATGTCTATCTATGTATCTATCTATTTTTGTCTCTCTATCTATATCACTCTCTCTATGTTTCTCTATGTATCTATCTATGCCTCTCTATTTTTGTATCTATCTCTGTATCTATATATATATATCTATATCTCTGTCTTTATCTGTATATCTGAAGGGTGACTGAAAAGTAACTCCCCATTTTAAAATACTTATAATGTATTTATTAACTATAATTTTTATGAGGAATCTGTTTAGCATGAGGTTTTATTTAAAATTCGATATGGGCACCAGATTTCACTGCCAGCTTCTCAAGCTGTCCAGGAATCACATCAACTGATTTCACCAGGAACTCTTGTGTTATGGAAGACATAACTTCTTGTATTGTCTCTTCAAATTCTTCCAAAGTCTTGGTTTGGTATAATAGGCTTATTCCTTTAACCAATTCCAAAGAAAAAAGTCACAGGGTGTTAAGTCAAGACTCCTAGCTGGCTACTCATACATAAAATAAGGAGTTACTTTTTAATCTATATGTATATCTATCTATATTTCTATATCTATCTATCTACCTATCTATCTATCTATCTATCGAAATTCATATCAATCTTTAAGAGGTTAATGAGTTTGAAAGAATAAGAGAAAAAGAAAAACATAATTAAGGAGCAAGAACCATAATAATTAAACCAGAAGTTTAATATAGGATTTACCTGTATTTGTATAATTCTTTATGTAATATATACAGCTTTCTTATTTCTTTTTATATATTATTCCAGATGGATTCTTTGAAGTTAACATCTCTTGTAAGTTTATTTTTTTATATACAAATATTCATTCTATACAAGAGCCACTCAATGTAGAAGGTTACTGAAGATAATTGTTGTATCAGTGGTAAGAAGTACAGTTTACAGATTTTTTAATCATTTCACACCATGCAAGGCAGTAAAGCCACTAACACACAAGGATTTACTGAGTGTGAAAGAATAAGAAAAAAAGAGAAACATTATTAAGGAGCAAGTAAAATAGAAGAGTAATCAAGAAGACTGTAGATAATGATTGACATTGCATTTAAATGTTTGAAGCTCAAAGTTGACTGGAAAGCAAGAAGCCAGAAAAGAGTTTCATAAGTGAGAAGTGTGATAGAAAAAAAACTATTAGCATAGAATGTATGGTTATATCTAGCCATTTTAACTATAAAATGATGAGACCAAGCTGCTAGTCTGATACTGCATTCAACAATGTATTTATTAAAACATTTCCTGCTATCAGAATTATTATTAACTATATAATTAATGCAAGCATCGAATAAATGTTTTTGTATGTCATGTAGCCATTTTGAAATAAATGAAACATTTAATATGCAGAGCAATCTCGGTTCTCAAATGTCTTATAAGTTGAACAAATCGGTTTTTGAACAGAAAATTTGAGATGAAAATGCCTCTGCTATTGAACAAAATTTTGGTTCTCAAACAACATTGTCGAACCGAGTTAACCCGAACAGAATCATTTCTGAGTTGACTGCCATGTTGTATACATTTACGTGTTGTGCTGTGCTTTTTTTTCCAATTTTATTTTACTGTGACTTTCTTTCCTATACATTGATTCCGATTGGAAAAATACTTTCGGTTTACAAACATTTTGAGTTACAAACGGCCTTCAAGAACAAAAGAAATTCATGAACCTAGGTTCCACTGTATGGAATATTAACTGTTTCATTTTCTTAAAAAATTACAAATCTTACTTATTATAAAACGCAGATTGTGTGTGTGTGTGTGTACGTTTATATATTGGATCGGATTTCCTACATTTTTCAACCGATTTCAACAAAACTTCACAGGACTACGTAAAATTACCTTGCGGTGGTTCTGACAGCGCCAAAAATGGGAAAAACACAATTGTTTTTGCATGAAATCAGTTTGAAAACACAATTAAGAGGCATTAATGAAAGGGGGACAACTCATATCGAGTTATTATAAAACCCAGGTTGTTTGTGTGTGTGTTCGTTTATATATGGGATCGGATTTCCTACATTTTTCAACCGATTTCAACAAAACTTCACTTTCTTTTTGGCAGGTAGTGTTTCTTATTGTCTTGCACACCTTTTTCTTTATTTTTACATTCAGAATGCTTTAAAAATTCCATTTACAAGACAATTGTTTATAATAAAATTCTGTTCAATTGGTAGACTCATAACGATTGAAAACAATGTTTTTGTTTGAGCTTGGGTTTGACCAATTCGTAAAAAAAATAAAAAATAAAAAAATAAAACTAATTAAGACATGCGTGTTCGTCAACCTTAAACAATAATCTTTGTCAATTTTATTTTTCAGTCTTTATGATGGTCGATACTTGATCTATCTCTTACTGTTACATCCCCGGGCAACGCCGGGCTCTACTGCTAGTCATGTATAAATTTGACTAATTTTTTTTTTCTAACTGTAATCATAACTGAGGTAATGCCAATAAACCATACTTGTCAGAATGCATAAAACAGATTGGCTTTCAGACAAATTAGCAGTGTTTTATTTGTTTTTTTTTTGTTTATTTTTTTCTGAAAATACTCGAAATTGCAGACAAAATAGGTGCCTTTCGATACCTACGGAGATTTTTGACTCTACACAGGAATCTTTCGACAACCATAATTACAGTCTTTATGAAATCTGTTTCATTGTCATTTTGCAACATAAACAAAAAGGGCATAATTTTATGATCATGTGTTCTGAATATAGGTATGAATATTAAGTGAGTGACACTTGAGTTAGAATGTACTTAAACAGGTTGAGGCTGAAGCTTTGTGGGTGTGGGGTCTGGTTAGAGGGACTCAAGCTGGAACATGATATTTTCATATATCAGATAGATAAAATTGAACAAACCGAAATAGGTATGTAGATAGATGTAAATGGAGAGAGATATACAAATAGAAATATATATATATATATATATATGTTTGAATAAAAACAGATCACTTTAAGGTTCCATGTAATAAGTTATTTCACCACAACCCTTTTAAAGGGTTCTGGATAATCAGACTTTACTTAAGCGGCGTCTAGCCTACACATAGTGGGGTTAAGGATAAGGAATTGAAAATGGTACATCTAACACACTCATATCTTC